TGACCGTTTCTCGGCCTGGCCCACTGTCCCTGGATCTCAGAACAGCCGCTGCCAGGTCCTGCCTTTTGGGCTGAGTGGTATGGTCGAGACAGGTAGAGGGGGTCCTCTGGTCTCCAGACCACGCAACCCTCTCGGAGTCATGCACTAGGGGAGCTTCACAGTGAGAGTCTTGTCCCAGTCCTTCCAGAACCTTCCGTGTTGACCAAAGTCATCCCTGGAGGTGTGGGGCGAACAGTACCCTGAGGTCCAGTCACATCTCACCCCCAAGACCACCTGGAAGAAACACGAGGATCGCCTGCATCTGAGCCCACGGCCCCGTGAGGAAAGAACATTCTAGAAGCATGGAAGGAGCTCAGGGAAGGGGTATCTGTCCCTGGCGTCCACCCCTGATAACTTCAGTAGGTTGTCTTCCCGAACGGGAGGCCCAGTGTAGTCTGCACAGATGGCCGCTCTGGACTCAGTTCCGAAGGGTCTGGCCCTCAGCCTCTGTCCCGGTGGGTCCCCGGTTCTGGTCCTTCAGGCTGTGGTACCCGGCCCCTGGCTGTGCGGACTGTCTGCTCCTGCCCAAAACCCCACTTTTGGGCAGACTCAGACCTGCCCTACTCCCTGGCTGTGGGGTATCTGCTTGTCTGGAGGAGCGGCCAGCCGGCCAGTGGGAAGGAGACCCGAGGGTGGTGATGATGAGGCTGAGACCCCGCCTGGCCGTGTCCGAGCAGGGCCGAGGGCTGCCTGGGGCCTGCCAGCTCCCTCAGCAGATGGCCGGCTCCTCCTGAGGGGCCTGGACCCGGCCTCCCCTCGCAGGTCCCAGCCTGCCCCCTCGTCCTCCTTCCCATCGGGGAGGGCTGGCTCCTGTCGGGAGGAGGAAGTTTCGCTGCTGCCATCTGAGGTCCTCGGCCTAGAATAGTGCTGGTTCTGACGTCAGGAGGCCGTTGGCTCGACGGGCCTCAGACTCCTCGTCTGCCTGCCGTGTGGTGGCTGGAGCTCAAATCCTGGCAGGTGTCCTGACCTCCCAGCTGGTGTTTTGGCGGGGCCCTGTGGGGCTCCCTACACAGGCTGTTATGGGGCTAGCCCAGCACTAGAGCAGAGGTTACAGGCAGGTTTTGGGGTTCCCCTGCTGTGGCTCCCCCTTTTATGCACATCTCCCTGCCTTGCCAGCTGCTCTTGAGATGCAGCCCTGAGTCCTGTGACCTGACCCCTCTCCGGGACGGCTGCAGCGTCAGCTGTGTTCCACTTGCACCTGTCGCGTGGAGGCGGGAGCACCTTCCGACAAAGCTTTCAAGGAGAGATCCTGTCCAGCGTCTGCCTCCTTGGCCGTTCCCCAGCGCCTTCACACCGTTGCCGCTTTGCACAGTTTCCCGAGTTCACAGTTGCGTCCGCAGGGGCTTCGTCTGGTGCAAGCTGCTCCCCGACCTGGGAATCGGAACTGCTTTCTCTCACGTGGTTTTCATTCTCATTGCCTTATAACCAGCGTGGCTCAGCCTCCTTTCCCTTGGTTTCAGGCTATTTGGATGTCTTCCGGGAGACGCCTGTTCAATGCTCTTGGCCATTTCTCTACGGAACTGTGTGGTTTCTGTAATTGATTTGCAGGAGTTCCCTGCATATTCTGGACACGTTGTCAGTTGCATGTTTGTAGGCAATATTGGGACAGACTTTGAAATGGACCAAAGGTGACTTCTGTCTTCAGTGGGAAGCAAGGCACTGTCCCGCCCCCCCAGGTGATGTGAGTGGTGGGGGCTCCGCCCTTTCCACCATCTTTGGGCTATTTTACAGCTCTGCCCATTGTAGAGAATCAAGGCCATGGGAACGCTCTTCTTGGAAGGATGGTTGACTCCTCCCTCTCTCAGGAGGACAAATCAGATGCATTTGAAAATGGCTCTATTCACAAGGTCCTTTAGCATTCTTGGTTCCACTACATCCACGAGGTAGTTTGAATTCTACTTAGAACTCCTTATAAGCCCTTAATTGCTGAGTTCAATAAAGTTTTTGAAATTGTTCATTATCTGTCTACATGAGCCTGGTGAGGACACCATGATTTAAAATCAGTCCTTTAACATGTCTCAAATGTCTTCTCCCACATGGGCCCACGTATCCTGGGTCCAGGAAGTTCTGTGCCCGTGGCGGGGCCTCAGGTGACCTGGTGCTGAGGAGCAGAGCTGGGGGATGCCAGCCACCCCATTCCTCCAGACTCTGCGTCAGCTGCTCCCCCGGAAATCCCCCCTCAGTCCCTTTGGTTGTGTGGCCTCTCAGCTCCCAGCACTTTCCCCTCACTGCACTCATCACGCTGTCCTTACTTCATTGTTTGCAGGATGATTTACCTACTTCTGCCTCTGCGCTGGTTTCTCACTTCCTTGAGGACAGAGGCCACATTGACCCCTCAGCATGGGGCGCTCAATGGCTCCCGGTGAGGGCACAGTGCCTGTGGTGCATGGGTTTCCAACCGACCAGTGGACGGCACCCTTGCAGATCCTGCAGGGCTTCTGTTCTCTCTGAGCCTCTCCAGGTTGGAGGCACCACCTCGGGTGGCCTGTCCCCGAGGGCAGGAATCAGATCAGGAGGGTGTTTGCCATTTCTAAGAGGCAGTGGGAAGCACCTTGGGGTCAGAAGACATGGGTACCAGCCGTGACACCCTCCCTGCTGGCATGGGGCCGCAGGCTCTGTAATTCCGAAGTTTCTTCAATGGTAAGGTTGTGACAGTGACCCCAGCTTTGCAGGGTGTTGTACAAAGGGTGCACAAAGTAATAGCAGGTCCCTGTCATGGTCAGTCTTCTGTGCCCGCCCCTGGCTGGTTATCAGACGCTAGTCCAGGTGCTGCTGTGCAGGTGTGTGTATATGGTTAACATCTGCACTCAGCACATTTTAGGTAAAGCAGATGAGCCTCCATAATCTGGGTGGAACTCATCCAATCAGTTGAAGGCCTTAAGAACAAAAAACAAGGTTTCCTGGACGAGAAGGAATTCTGCCTCAAGATGGCCGCCTCAACTCCTGCCTGAGGATTCCACTTGCTGGCCTGCTCTATGGATTTCAGACTTGCCAGCAAAGCCCCCTACAAGCCCAGGAGCCAGTTCCCTGAATGGAATCTCTCTCACCGGCATCTGTGTGGATGTGTATCTGGCTGTAGCCCTCGCCATGACCCTATCTGCGTGTCTTTGCCTGTCTGTCTATCTTCATCACCACCTTCTCTCTATCTTTATCCATCTCCTGATGGTTCTGTTTCTCTTGAGAACCTTGACTAATCGCCTCTGAAAACTCTAATGTCAAGACACTGTGTGCACGTCCGACGTGGTTGTTACATTTGATGCTCGCTTTCGAGTTTCACTCAAGTAGTAGCATTTTGGTGATGACCGTGTCAGCCAGCTGTGCCAGGCTGTGCTGTGATAACACACCCCCCAGATGAAGGGGCTGCAGCCTCCTGGGCTTATTTTTCTCTCACAGCCACGTCTGCTGCAGTTTGGCTGGAGCTTCTCTGCTCTAGGATACAGCGCAAAGGAGCAGACCCTTTCTGGAACATGTCATTCTCAGGGCTGAGGGACAGAGCCATCATGGTCCATGCAATGAGCACTCCCGTGCACAGCCTTTGGCCCAGGCGGGTGTCCATGGTGTCATGAGCATCCTCATCCCCCGGGGCAGCATGCCACGGAGGGGTGGGGCGGGGAGTATGCGGACAGTCACTGACTTGCTCCCGGATGAGGACACGCACAGGGAGCTGGGAGCCCGCTGCCTGAGAGCAGGTGTGTCTACCAGGCCTGTCCTCTGTGCCCTCCTGGGTCTGTCATTGTGTTGCCTGATGCTGATGGCACCTGACCTTGTCTGGCTCTTCCGACACTGGCTGTGGCTGGACCCCCGGCTTGTTTGTCTCTTTCCCCTGGCCTAGCATTCTGTAGCCTACACGTGAAAAGGGCCCAGGGATGGTAAGGTTGGCTCACCAACCCAAAGCTATGCCAATGCAGAGACCAAGCTGCACCATGGAACCTCCCCCAGTCCACTTCTGTGCTGGGTCCTGGGCTGGGTCCCCAGGTCTCGAGAGCAGGAGTCTGGCAAATGAATGTGGATGCCTGGAGGAGGGACCAGACTTCCCTGCAGGACTGCAGGGCTCCTGTGGAGATGGACGCAGGGGGATACTGAGTAAGAGAGGCCGGCACAGACCAGGCCCTGGGTGGTGGGGAGCGTTCTGCTTGGAGCATTAGGGAAGACTGAGAAAGGAGGCCTGGGGCGCAGAGCTAAGAGAAGGGTCTGTAAGAGTTTGCCGGGTGCATACAGGGAAGGGACACTGGGAGAAGGGAACAGCATGAGCAGAGACTCGGGGTGGGAGGCAGCGAGAGGGACCCAGGTAATCGATTGCTGAGCATGCGGGACAGGGCGCTGTGCGTGTGTGTTCCTGGAACCAACTCCTTGTTTTGAGCCGAATTGTGTCGTCCAAATTCCAATCTTGAAGCCCTGACCCTAGGTCCTCAGAATGTGGCTGTATGTGGAGCTAGGGTCCTTCAAGGGGTAATAAGTTACAATGGGGTGGGCCCTGATCCAATAGGATTGGGGTCCTTATAAGAAGAGGGGTCAGGATGCAGACACTCACAGATGGAGGACGATGTGAGGACACGGGGAGAAGAGGCCGTCTACACGTCCCAGAGAGTGGCCTCAGGAGAATCCCCTGCTGACGCCCTGATCTGGGGTGTCCCGCCTCCTGAATATGTGAGTTACAGCCGCCCATGCTGACTAATACACACCCCACACGTGGTCCTGCTTCTGGCCTGGGCCAGTGCTGGACGCTCCTCCTGCCGGGGCCCGGGCTGGTCCTGCTCCCCACAAGGCCCGTGTACCCCCTCTCTCCTCATCACACTGTTTCCGGGCCGCCCTCCTCACCCTCGGAAGCCCAGGGGCTGGAGAGCCGAGGGCAGGAGGGGAGGGAGGACTGGAAGGTCATGGAGCTGTGAGGGTGTGGACAGAGCCCCGATGCATGACTCGGCCAGGCTGTGGGTTCCATGTGGCATCAACATAGGCAGTTAAGGAATTTTCCAGGTATTTTATTGTTGTTCTAGAAAAAGAAACTGTAAAGACAATCCAGGGGCTATAGAAACTTCAAGAAGGAGAAAAGCTATCCAAGCTCCCACTGTGGGCTTTCCTTTGAGCCGTCTCTCTGTGCAAGGACCTGGCAGGTGGGGCGGGGCCGCCTCTGCTTCCTGTGCTCATCCATGTCCTCCCCGTCCAGAGATGCTGACTTGCCCTTTGTTCAGAGTCGTGAGGGGGCACTGGTTCCTGGGTTGGTGAGGTCGGGGGTCTGGTTGGGTCCACCTGGCCCGGCTCCCTGAGGCCTCGGTTCTCTCCTTGGTGGTCTCGTCTCTTCCCTGTGCCCCGTGGAGCAACCTGGAGTTCCTGTGGATCGTGACACAGGCCCTGCCGAGCACAGGACGGAGTGCCTGCTGCCCTGCTCTCCTGGCCCTCTTCCACTTCTGTCCATCAAGGCCATATCCCGATCCCGCCCCCTTGGTGAGCTAGTCACTAGGCTCCTCCCCAGGAAGCCATCTGGTCTGACACTGACCCTCCCCAGGTGGTGCCGCCCCCACCCCCCAGGGCTCCTGCCACGGCCATGGGCGCAGGTCCTCCTCCTAGCAGTCTCCTTAGGTGGTGGTGATCTGAGTGACTATGAGGGGCACACCCAGAAGCTTCCCTGCTGGTTGATGATGGCCCCTGGGTCTCTGGGCCTTGATGGCAGATGCTCCCACTCAAGGATCTGAAACCGGGCGTCTCCTCTTGGGACCCCATGTCCTAGAGCATGGCATCATGCGGTTCGCATGCAGGCCCAACCCTGCCCAGGTGGCCATGGGAAGGCTGGTCCTCCACCTCCTCCCTGGTGACTGACACACCGACCTGTGGCCGTCCTGGTGAGGGATGTTTGGCCCCGAGGCCTCAGCGTCCACACAGGTCCGGCAGCTCTTAGTGGCTGCTGTGGCTGGGCCTGTGGGAATCCATTAGCCCCGCTTGGTTACAGCTGCTGTCCACTCGATTGTCCACTGGGGGTCAGGGGGCAGGATGCAGCCTGTGGTGGCTCCAAGGCCCGAGGGCGAGGTAGGGGTAGAGGTGGCCATGAGGTCACAGGGCAGTAGGTCAGCGTTTGGCGAGGTCAGAAGCAGAGGAGCAGGTCTGCACAGCAGCTGAGCAGCATGACCTGAGGGACCCGGATGCTGTCTGGGGTCTGGGGCGGCCCTGGACGTCTGCCCAGGAGGAACGGCCCTAGACCCCTCGCCCGATCATGTTCCTGTAGTCGGGGACGATCGTCCGCTTCAGCTCCACCACCGAGGAGAAGATCCATTTCACCTGCAGCAGGCGGGCCAGGGGTGAGCGTGGCCTGGACCCAACGCCGGCCTCCGCCAGGGCCTGCCTGCCCTGCACCCGGGCAACGTGACGGTGGGCGGGCCAGGGGTGAGCGCGGCCTGGACCCAACGCCGGCCTCCGCCAGGGCCTGCCTTCCCTGCACCCGGGCCACGTGACGGTGGGGGGTCGAGGGGAGGATGACATGGGGACATGGTGGGGACAGCGAGGGGACAGGGAGGATACAGCGATGGGAACGTGTTAGGAAAGTGAAGTCTTAGAGAGCGGACAGCAAGGGAACAGTGAGGGGACATCAAAGGACAATGATGTCATGGCAAAAGGACAGTGATGAGACAATGAGGGGACAGTTGTGGACAGTGAGGAGACAGGGGAGAGTGAAGGGACACTGGTGGAACACTGTGCAGACATGGAGGCGTCAGTGTTGAGACAGTGAGGGGACAGAGAGGGGAGGGTAAGAGGATGGTGAGGGGACATGGTGAGGACAGTGTGGGGACAGCATGGTAACAGCGAGGGGACGACATGGGGACGGCCTGGCCCACCTTGTAGAGGGTGACGGTGGCACTGTAGCACACGCTGAGCAGGAAGAGCGTGATGAAGGTGGAGATAGTGGTCCACAGCCCGTCCAGCTCCCCGTCCTGGGCCTCGGCACAGCTCTCGTCCAGGACCATCTCTGCACAGGGAGGGGGTGGTCAGTGCTGTGCCTGCCCGAGGGGGCTGGGCAGGGCCAGCGGGTCCTCGGGGGGTGATTCTGTCTGTGGCAGAGTGGGCGGGGCAGGTGGGATCCCTCAAGTGGGCTGGGTCAGTGGTGCCCTGAGGTCAGGCTCTGTGCTTTGACCTCAGTCCCCCATTCCTCCAGCCGGGACTCTGAGTCTTGGCCAGTGACCCAGGTCTCATCACTGACCCAGGTCTCAGCCGGGCCAGTGGGGGACCAACCGTCTCTTCTGCTCTGACCTGTGCAGGGCCCTCTGGTGAGAAGGCGCCCGAGTCCTGCAGGATGGTGGCTCAGGCCCTGCCGCCTCTCTCTCGGGGAACAGGAACTGAGGGCAGGAGGGTCAGCAGAGCCTTTGGGCAGCTGGGCCCCTGCCCCAGGGAAAGGCCGAGACAGGATTGGATGTGTCCCCAGTGCATGAGCCGTGGGAGTGCTGGGGACAGCTGGGTGTGGGGGTTTGTGCCCCAGGGAAGCAGAGGGCTGGTTTTCGGAGTTGGTCAGTGTGGTCAGTGTGAGGACGAGCACTGGGCAGCCCGTGGGGCGTGGGAGGGGGTGGGGTCCAGCTGGTGTCCAGGCTGAGGGTTCAGGAGACCAGGCTCCGTGCTCTGTTGGGCAGGTGCCAGTTGCCCTTGTGTGAGGATCCAGTGTGTAAGGCCAGCTCTGTGTGTGTGTGTGTGTGTGTGCATGTGCACATGTATGTATGTGTGTGGAGCTGGTGTGTGGGCTGGCACTGCTCAGTGAGAGGGGCTTGTTTTCAATGGGTCTGGACTCAGTGCCCACTCAAGGCCACCTGCCTCTTTGGGCTTGGCAGCCGATCCTGCTCTCCTGGGTGGCCTGCACAGGTTCCCACACTCTGGGTCTGATCCGAATGGGACCCACTCTCCCGTAATAGTGACAATGTGGCCTTGGAACCTGGCTGCACCGCTGCCTGCAGGCCTGGCCAAGCACCAGAGCTCTGCCTCAGAAAGAACCACGACTGCGTCGCAGGGTCCCAGGGCCATGCTGGGTGCTTTATTTCATGCTGGGTGCCCGGGAAGGTATGTACACAGGGGTGGGGGCTCAGGTGTCCTCGTGAGGAGGGAGGGACGGCTCGCCGGGTGCCGGGCGTGTGGCTCATTTACCCGGGTTCTTGGAGATGTTCTTCTGCATGACGTGATTGTGGAGAGCCTCGTGCATCACCACACACGTGAATGTCGTTCCCTGCTGCCACCTGTCCTTCTCCACAGTGAGCTTGCTGTACAGGAAGTAGGACCCGTCGCTGTCCTTCTGGGCTTCAGTGGTTCTGTACTTGCCCTCTGGCTCTGGATGCTCATTGCTCTGCCACTCGACGGTGATGTCGGTTGGGTAGAAGTCCTTGACCAGGCAGGTCACGCTGACCTTGTTCTTGGACAGCTCATCTGGGTGCGGGGCCAGGACATACACCTGCGGCACCCGGGTTTGCCCTGTGGGGACAGGGGTCAGCACAGATGGTCCCTCCTGGGTGGTACCCTCCCCGTGCCCGTCTGCCCTGCCCTCACCTGTGGCCTTGGAGATGGTCCTCTCTACAGGGGCTGGGAGGGCTTGGTTGTTGACCTTACACTTGAACTTCTTTCCGTTCAGCCAGTCCTGGTGCTGGATGCGGAGGACGCTGACCACGCGGTAAGTGCTGTTGTTCTGTTCCTCGTTCGGCATTGTCTTGGCAGTCTTCACCTCTGTGCCGTCCACATACCAGGTGAACAGGACATCGGAGCTGTCATGGCTCACGTCCACAACCAGGCAGGTGACCTCAGGCATTCGGGTGATCATGAGGACGTCCTTCGGTTTTGGGGGGAAGATGAACACGGAAGGCCCTCCTAGCAGCTCAGGAGCTGGTGGGGGAAATATCGCGATGAGGGGGTCAGCACCTGGATGGGACCCCTTTTGGGCACTCGTCCTGCCATGTGCCATGCCTGTGCTCAGGCCACCTCCTGGGAGTAGAGGGTGAGGCCCGGCTGACTCACCTGGGCATTTGGGACACTCGCAGGGACAGGGTGGTGTAGTCGTCTCAACTGGAACTGTGGTTGTTAGCGGCACTGTAGGTGCAGGTGTCGTAGGCTTTGGGAGGACGGGCTCTGGGGACAGACGGCCCTGGGGTGAGCTGACGTCAGGGCCAGGTTTTGGCAGGTCTGAGACCAGCGTGCCTCCCGGGGCCCGAGGGGCTGGGTTAGGACTGTCCAGCCTGCCCCTGCTCTGGGCAAGGCAGAAACGCCCAGAAGACCCCTCCCTTTGCTCGGGAGGCCTCCCCCGCTGCCCTGGGGTCCAGGCAGGAGGGCAGAGCCTGGCCTGTCTCACAGGAAATGCCCTCCCTGCGGCCCCTCCTCTCACCGATTCTCTTGTCCACCTTGGTGCTGCTGGCCGGGTGGGCTACGTTGCAGATGTAGGTCTTGCTCTCCAAGCTGCTGGCAGGCACGGTCACCATGCTGCTGAGGGAGTAGAGCCCCGAGGACTGCAGGACGGACGGGAAGGTGCGCACACCGCTGGTCAGCGTGCCCGAGTTCCAGGACACGGTCACTGGCTCTGGGAAGTAGCTGGAGACCAGGCAGCCCAGGGCCACCGTGGAGTCAGATGTGGTCCCACAGCTGGGAGCCAGAGGGAAGACCTTCGGGGCTGTGGTGGAGGCTGCAGGAGAGGAGGCTTGTGAGACAAGGGCCTCCCTGTGAGGGTCCGGGGAGGGTGTCAGGTGCCCAGCGCCCATGTACATTGAGAAGGTGTGCAGACTAGATGTCCCATGTGGCCACCTGTCATCCATGGCTGGTGGCTCTGCAGCCACGGGCTCTGGACTGGTCCCCTGGTCACCACTGGATGACCATCTGTATTAGAGCCTCTTTGAGGCACCTGTCCCCTAGTCCCTGCTTAGGCCTCCTGCGGGTGGCCCACCTGATGGAGCCCCTCTCTGAGCCCTGACCAGAGGCCTCTGTTCCTCGTGGGCTTCTGCTGGTCTCCCAACCCGCTGTCCTGCTGGCCCAGCCCGGCCCTGCCTGGCGCAGCAGCCCCTCCTCAGGTGTGGTGGGCCTCTGCCCCACATGCCTGTGTCGGCTCCAGACCCTCAGCCCAGAGCCCTTGTTGTGGCCTGTCTCCGCTTACCAGGGCCTGTGTCTTTTGAGTCAGCTCTGCTGCCAGGCACCCTAGGCCCTCCTCTCCGACCCTCCCCTCACCCTGACGCAGCCCTACACCGCATCCCAGTCCTGACTCCGTCCCTGCCCTGGACCCTGTGCCTGCCCTGGACCCCATCCCTGCCCTGGATCCCGTCCCTGCCCTGGACCCCATCCCTGTCCTGGACCCCGTCCCTGGGAGTCTCCTTGTACCCCTCCCCTCCCATCCCTCTGGGCCCCCAGCCCAGCCTCCTTAATTGGCCTCTGGGCCACCCCCCTCCTCAGGTCATCCTGGCTCGGCTTCCTGAGCTCACCTCCGGCCCCTTCCTGCCAGCGCCGCCTGCCCTCCGCCCTCCCTGCTCTTGGGCCTGTCCAGCTCCTTGCTCACTGCAGAGCCCTCCTCCAGCTGTGGTCCTTCCCCAGCACAGCCGGCCCCTGGGCGCAGGCGGGAGCCCTGCACTGCCCTCGGCGCTCCTCTCCTCTTGGTGCCAGCCTCCCCAGGCCCCCGTGTGGGCCAGGGTGCAGCCTCCACCCCCAACACCCAGGCCCGGCCTGTCTCCTCCTCCCCTGAGTCCTGTCTGATCAGCCCCAGGGCCCTGCCAGGCCTCTCCCCATGATGGGAGCCTGGGCTCAGGCCCCCAATGGGCCCCTTACTCTTCCATGCACTGAGCCCACTGCGCTGTGCCACCCCACACTGAGTCCGCATGTCTACCCCTCTTGTCTCACGTCCCCATGAGAAACTGAAACAGGGCTAGTGCCCCCAGAGCCAAGAACTACATCTCATTTTGTCCCCTCAGGGGTGACCCCTGCCCCTTCATCCCCAGACACCTCCATCCCAGGCTACCTGCCCGCCCCCCCACCCCGCCCATGCGTCCAGCTAGTCACCACCCACACAGCCCCTCAACCAGCTCACACTCTCCTCCGGGTACAGGGAGCCTCACCAGATCCCCAGGAGCCTCCAGCTGTCCCTGCTCCTTATACCTACTGAGCTCCTGCCTCTGCAGAGCCCTGTTTAGGTCAGGCCATCTGTCCCTGGTCCCTGGAGCTTCTGGACAGCACCCTCTCCCTAAGGCACTCTCAGCCTCCAGCTCACCTATAGCTGCTCTGCCTGAGCTCCTGAAGATCCTGGGCAGCCCCGGGCACCTCCGGCCGTCGCAACTGCTGTGGCTCACTTATAGCTGCTCTGTCTGCTCCCACCCCGGAGATCCTAGGCAGCCCCCCTGCCGTCCTGCCCTCCCACCTGGCTCTGCTCACTGTAGCTGCCCTGTATCTCCCCCCAGGAGCTCCAGGGTGGCATCCGGCTCCTCTAGCCCGGCCAGCCCCCAGCTCACCTGCCAAGCTTACCCAGTTCCCCTGGTACTCCTGGGCAGCCCCCTGCCCCTCCTGCCCTCCCTCCTGCCCCTGCTCACCTGTAGCTGTTCTGTCTGCTCCCCAGGAGCTCCTGGGCAGCCTCCTGCTCTGCCAGCCCCTCAGGCCCCTGCTCACTGGTAGCTCCTCTCCCTATTCCCTGGAGCTCCTGAGCAGCCCTCTGCCCCACCAGCCCTCCTAGACCCCTGATCACCTGTAGCTGCTATGCCTGCTCCTGTGCAACTCCTGGCCTGCCCCCTGCACCTGCTCACCTATATCTGCTCTGCCTGAGCTCCCGAAGATCCTGGGCAGCCCCGGGCACCTCAGGCCGTCGCAACTGCTGTGGCTCACTTATAGCTGCTCTGTCTGCTACCACCCCGGAGATACTAGGCAGCCCCCCTGCCGTCCTGTCCTCCCACCTGGCTCTGCTCACTGTAGCTGCCTTGTATCTCCCCCCGGGAGCTCCAGGGTGGCATCCGGCTCCTCTAGCCCTGCCAGCACCCAGCTCACCTGCCAAGCTTACCCAGTTCCCCTGGTACTCCTGGGCAGCCCCCTGCCCCTCCTGCCCTCCCACCTGCCCCTGCTCACCTGTAGCTGCTCTTCCTGCTCCCCCGGAGCTTCTGGGCAGCCTCCTGCCCATCCTGCCCTCCCACCTGCCCCTGCTAACCTGTAGCTGCTCTGCCTGCTCCCGCGGAACTTCTGGGCAGCCCCCTGACCCTCCTGCCCTCCCACCTGCCCCTGCTAACCTGTAGCTGCTCCCCTGGAGCTCCTGGGCAGCCCCCTGCTCATCTGGCCCTCCCACCGGCCCCTGCTCACCTGTAGCTGCTCTTCCTGCTCCCCCGAGCTTCTGGGCAGCCCCCTGCCCCTCCTGCCCTCCCACCTGCCCCTGCTCACCTGTAGCTGCTGTGCCTGCTCCCCCGGAACTTCTGGGAAGCCCCCTGCCCCTCCTGCCCTCCCACCTGCCCCTGCTCACCTGTAGCTGCTCTGCCTGCTCCCCCGGAACTTCTGGGAAGCCCCCTGCCCCTCCTGCCCTCCCACCTGCCCCTGCTCACCTGTAGCTGCTGTGCCTGCTCCCCTGGAGCTCCTGGGCAGCCCCCTGCCCCTCCGGCCCTCCCACCTGCCCCTGCTCACCAGTAGCTGCTCTGCCTGTTGCCCCGGAGCTCCTTGGCTGCCCCCTGCCCATCCTGCCCTCCCACCTGCCCCTGCTCACCTGTAGCTGCTCTGCCTGCTCCCCTGGAGCTCCTGGGCAGCCCCCTGCCCCTCCGGCCCTCCCACCTGCCCCTGCTCACCTGTAGCTGCTCTGCCTGCTCCTCTGGAGCTTCTGGGCAGCCCCTGCCCCTCCTGCCCTCCCACCTGCCCCTGCTCACCAGTAGCTGCTCTGCCTGCTACCCCGGAGCTCCTGGGCAGCCCCCTGCCCATCTGGCCCTCCCACCTGCCCCTGCTCATTAGCAGCTGCTCTGCCTTCTCCTGTGGAGCTCCTGGGCAGCCCCTGCTGCTCTTGCTCTTCAACTTGCCCCTGTTCACCTATAGCTGCTCTGCCTGCTCCCCCAGGCTCCTGGGCAGCCCCTGCCCCTCCAGCCCTCCCACCTGCCCCTGCTCACCAGTAGCTGCTCTGCCTGCTCCCCCAGGCTCCTGGGCAGCCCCTGCTGCTCTTGCTCTTCAACTTGCCCCTGGTTACCTATAGCTGCTTGGCGCCCCCTCCCCCTCGGCTCTCCAGGGCAGCCCCTGCCTCTCCAGCCCTATCATCCCCTCCACACAGCTCAGGTTCCTGAGCTCAGCCCAGGGCTGCTGGGTCTCCCCAGGGCTCTCTCTGCCCCTTCTACTTCTCCCAGTGCCCTCAGCCCAGGTTTGCCCTCTATCCTGGGCTCATTCCTTTCCTAGCACTTGGCTTTGCCTCCTGGAGCCACCAGGTGCCCACCTCTCTCTGGCCAGCTCTCTCCTGGCAGAGACCCACCCTGGTCCCCCCTAGAGGTGCCCAGGACACCATGGCCACCACCTCTGACCCTGCCGTGGGGCTTGAGCTGGCTCCTTGGCCTGGACAGGACCCTTAGACCACCTGGAGGTCCTCTTCCTCTCCTGCTCTGAGCCAGCCCACTCTCTGTGCTCAAACCCATCTGTACATACTGGTGTGCATGCTGTAGCAGCTCAGCTCCGGGCTGGTCCTGACCTCAGCACAGCTGGCCAAGCGCAGCCCTCAGGCTTCTGGCCTCCATCCTATCACGTTCCTTGAAGGCCCTGCCTCCTCCTGCCCAGTCGACGTCCCTGGCCTCTGGTGCATGCAGCCCTGTGGGCGTGGGTGCATCTGCTAATGGCTCCATGGTGCCTGCGTTGGGTCGGCTTTGTGGCCTGTGGGCAGCCTGCTCTCCCCCGTGCTGACTCAGTTGCTTGAGCCCCTCGGAGTCGTCCCTGGGTGCCTGGGCTCCCCGCAGCTCTGCAGCCGATTCCACTGCCCCGAGTCCACTCCCTTCCCCCTGCTCTGTGGGGACCTCACTCACCGAGGGTCAGGGACATGGAGGCGGCTCCCCCGCACGCCCAGCCAGGGTCTTCCAGGAGCCCCCTCCCCTCCCTGCTCTGGCCCCAGGCGATGTGGCTCCTCGTGGCTTCGTGTTCTGTGTGTACGCTGCTTGCAGGAGTTCATAGCTGGGTCCTGGAGGAGTGAACACCCTCTCCACGACCCTCTAAAGACTAAGAGTGGGACTGAAACCGGGGGGCACCACTTGCTTCCTGAAGTTCCCTTTTCTTCTGGGTGGTTGCTGTCTCAGAGGGCCTGGGGGGAGTTCATTCGTGGCCGAGGCTGCCTCACGTGGGTGCATGGGTGTGGTGTGAAGCAGTGTCTGGGGCCCAGGGGAGAGTGCAGGAAGCCCGGGCTCACGTGCCTCTCTTCGCTCTCTCCCTCCTACAGGTATTATGCCCAATGGCCCCACCAAATGCCGGGGCACCCAGGCCTCTCACGTGAGCCCTCTGGTCCCCACACTCAGAGGACACCTCCCCCTGCCCCGGTCAGCATGCAGTGTGGACACAGGCTGACCTGCTCACAGCCCGCAGCCCAGCCCAGGGCATCATCCTGTTCTCCTGCCAGGACAGCCCTCCGAGTAGAAAGCCGTCTTCCTCTGGGTCCCTGCCTCTTCCCTCCGTCCCTCTCTGGCTCCATCTGTGGCCGGATCTCTGAGTGAAGGCTGGTAGCAACCAGGGTCCCAGATAAGCTATTCTTCCAGACACAGCTGTCCTCTGGGGACAGACAGAAGTCTATGTGCAAGGACAGAGTCCACGGTGGTCACTGGGACCCAAAGGTCTCCTCCATCTGAGAGACAGCGTGCTGTCCCTGTCCTTCCGCGTGTGGGCCAGGACCCAGCTGTCTGTGGGTGGGGGGACACGGACCCTCAGTGTCTTATGACTTGCAGTGCCGTGGCTCACCCAAGGCCCTGTGTGCACCCCTGGGCCGTCCCATCTCTTCCACATTAGGCCTTGGATCGGGGATCCCTGGGCGGCACCATGGTCCCCACCCTGGAATTGCTGGGGGCCAGGAAGATGACTGGATGTGAAGGCAGGCTTGGCTCCTTCCAATGGTTGATGGGCAGGGGCTTGTGCTGTGGCCGCTTAGGTGGGCCAATAGCAAAGTCCAAAGTGAACCTTCTAGGAGGTGACCTCAGATGTAGGAGGGTGCTGGCCCTCCCACCCATTGCTATCTGTAGCACCCTTTGGCCACCGGTGTCCTCAGAGCGACCCACGTCCTCCAACGGTCTCCTCCAGGTCCCTCTGCCTCCCCTACTGTCAGATCCTCACTTTCCACAGTTGGGGTTTCTCAGAGCAGCGCCCACGTCCAGGTCCCATATCGTGTCTGGTGGTTCGTGGGTGTGCTGTGGGCCACCCCACAGAGAGTGGCTTCTGCAGCTACTCTGCTGGTTTGCTCCTGTGTTGGTGGCCTGCAGGCAGCTCCAGGCTCTGTGGGCGGGGGCGCTCCTCTCTGCTCCACTCGCGTCAGCAAGGGGCTGGAAGGCTCCACCTGGAGTCCAGCGCCTGGGCTGGGCGGGTGCCCGTGTTCCCTCTGTCTCTGTGATCTTTCCATGGGGATTCCCTGTGCTGAGCGGTGCCCGGGCCTGACTCCCAGGAGGAGCCCTGTCTCCTTAGGTCCTGCTCTCAGAGACCCAGCAGTGGTCCCTCAGTGGCCCTGTCCCCATGGAGGCCGTCACATGGGTACCCTGGGGTCTGGTGAGGGAAGTGAACCTCTGCATGGGGCAGGACCAGGTGATGGAGGAGCCTGTGGTCCTGGGAATGTTGCTGTGGACACCCAGAAAACGCCGTCAGCAGCAGCCTTGGTGAAGGGAGTGCCCTCTGGTCCCTCCGGGATGAATTCATGATAATCCACCTCACACTCCCGGCGGCTCTGGCCCGGCCTCCTCTCCGTGGTGCCCACGCAGTTTTGCCATCTCTCCCACGGAAGGCAGCCTCCCTCAGTCATGGGCTCAGCACGCTGTGAGCATCGCTGCCCTTACATAAGAAGCATGTTCATCTATGTAATTTCTGGTCAGGAAATGTTGATGCAAATAGTCCATAGTCAATGTATAAATCAAAATGGGGGAGAGTTTATTACATGAGCCAATCTGAGGACTACATAGCCCAGGAGAACGACCTTCCCCAAGGAAGGAAGCACTCGGGAGCAGCCGGGTGTACAGGGAACATACATCACATATGACAGGAATATCCCTTTTTCTAGGGTCACAAGATGCTCCTAGCACAGCAGGTCAGTGGCCCTGAGAAGAGCACAGCTGTCAGTCATGAATCCTTTGTTTCTGGGAGGAAATGCTCATCTATAAAGAAATGCCGATATTGCGGGCATATCTTTAAGGGCATCATTCTTGCCTTTGATGCACTGTAAATGTTTAACGCAGATGTACAATGCATGCTCGACAGGCCATGGCAGGCCGTTCCAGAAAACCAAGGTCCAGCGGAATTAGGTTTAAAAGAAATGACTTCCTCATATACCTCAATATATTAACTTTTCTTATTGCTTTTCAAATATTTGTTGTTTTCCATGTTGAATCAATAATGTTTTGATAGAAAGCATTGATGATCAAAATATTGTTTCTTGGTGCCAGAGTGGTTGCTGCCTGCCATGGGTCCATCGTGTCCCTCAGTGCTAGGCTTCTGTAGGATGAGCGGATGAGCATAGAGGTACATATTAGCAGGGGATGCATGTGACAGGTTATGTAACCTTTCAGTAATTTTACATTGTTGCACAAATGTTGCACATGTGCTTTTACATGAGTCCTTATGCTTACATTGTTTACAATTATAGAACAGGTACAGTAACAATCATGATGACTGAATATTTGAAATGATTATTTTACAAATGATATTTTAGGCATAGTCTTACCAGAAGAGGAGATTCATCCAGGTTTGTAAGATCTGTCAGCCACCTCAAGTCGCTGGACAATCGTGGCTCAGGCCTGCATGCCAGTCTTACAGCACTGAGTAAGGGACATGTGATTAGTTTGAATATTGTGACTACTACAAGAATTTCAAGGAGTACCAGAAATAGGAATTGTAATCTGGATGTCAAAAGGGAAGCAGTACCTGAAAGGAGTCAATCAAACAAATGCAGACTGGGGGTGGGGGTCGCTTAAGGCATTCACCTGCTTTTCCATGTGCTTTAGCAGAGTGGACACATTGGAAGATTCATCAGGTCTAAAAACAGCATTCAGTTTGAATGAGTGCACATGTCCCACCTTGGGATGCTGTTAGACTATCTAAGGCCATTCTAATTGGAAGGACAGCCCTTCCCACTAAAGACATTTCAGTATTTTATAAGGCTATTCCAGGTTGACTACCATTAAGAGTTGTTCAGAAAATTTGGTCAGAGCCTCTATATGTGATATGACATTACTAGCCCCAAGGAGGGAAAGAATATAGCCACTAGATGATCATACCAGTGGAATAGTAAATGAGTCCATCTGGCCATAAGGAGAGGAAGATCAACAACAGATGTTGGCTCAGGGCAAATCCTTCTCTGCATCCATTAGAAGCCCATGGTGCAGTGTCCTAGCCATCTGGGTGGTAGCCAAGACCAGAATTTTGTTCACATAGCCACTGAGTTCCCTTAGGAGACCACCAATGAATGCGTGGCCCTTGAGACCAGTCTGTTCCAACCAATTACTTTCCTTACATGTGACAGTGTTCTGACATGACCTGGGCAATAGCCATCCCACATTTGTGTCCAACCTCCCATAGTTCTCACTGTAATAGCTTTTTTTATTCGTTTATTTGAAAATTGTTGGGGTAATTGGATGATCTGAATAACAGAAAAAGAGTAGCCATGACTGGGATCATTAATAGGATGGGCTTTTGCCATGTTTCGGGATCATAATTAGTATTGTTGGATGAACTTTGCACACCATAACTAGATCTTTCCATCATAATAAATTGCTTTAAGGCTTTTCAATCATGCCTTGAAAGAGAGCAACCAACCAAGTTACCCAAGATGTATTAGAAAGGGGAAGTTGGCCACATATCCAACAACTGGACAGATTTTTGTGTGTAGCAAAAGAATGTGTCCATTGTAAAAAGACATTGCCATCAGAGGCCCATTCTGATGTGGACTGAAAAAACAAACATAGTATCAGGAAAACCTTAAATGGCATTTTTGTGTTTAATTAAAAGTGTTTGGAATTACATTGTAATCTATCTTACACATTTGGAGGGGTAGAAAGCAAAGTATTAGGGTAGGTGACAGTTGCAAGAGTTTAAACCAGGAGATATAAGGTTGGGAATATAGGCCTGGTCTGCAGTCTTGGGACATCTGTCTACAACAGATCCATCTTCTTCTCATCCTGATGTGGAGGGATTTGTTTTGGTCAGTTGAAGTCAGTGTCAGAAATAGGAGCTGAAACCCACTCAAGTGGAGAAGCCGTTTTTTAAAAATGAGAACTGTGAATTCACGAGTCTATGCCTCTTAATTTTGCTGTGCAAGATTGGTTAAGAGTACCTGGTATGGTCCTTTCCAACCAGGTTGCAAAGAGTCTTTTATCAGGTGTCTTTTCCAATAAGGGAAATCTCCAGGTTGTAGCCCATGACCCTTAAGGTCTTCATCTCCTGGGAGCTTTGTCTCCTGCTGTGAAAGGAGTCCGCTACCGATGTTTCATGTCTTTTAGATGTATGAATGGCTACCAACCTTTCTTTCTTTTAAGTGCCTGAATGAGACCTTGACAATAATGTCAGATATCTCCCTTGAGCAAAGGTGGATCACGCATTCCCTCATGTAATTGCATAGTCATTTTGTTATTGTTTCAAAATGAGACAGCCAATTTTTACCAAAATATGTAGATCTAAGGTTGAGGAGCTCTAGCAGAAGAGCTTTTGGCCATGAGAGATGAAATGCTTCTGAAAGCTTTTCCAATTGAGTTTTGATTGCGCTATTAGTTAAAATGTTTCATTATTTCACCAAATGTCACAAGTAGATTTCATTATTTGTCTTGCAAAATGAGTTCCCCGGTCACTGTGTAACTCAGTACGAATTCCCCAAAAAGGAGCTATCCTTTGCAATAATAATTTACTTACTGCTAAAGCCATTGCTCTTCTGCAAGGAAAAGCCCCAACCTAATGTGAGAACACACAGATCATCACTAAGATATTTACATCCTGGAGATGGTGGCATCTGAACAAAGTCCAATGGCCATACCTCAGAGGGTCCCTTAGGAAGGGAAAAGAGGCTTTGTGACCCAGGAAGTGGTTTCCTTGGATTATAATTTGTGCATA